TTGATTTGCACGTGTATAGAAAAACAAGGCCACACACACACACACACACACACACACACTTTTACTGTCCCAGTCTCATAAAAAAAAACTATTACCCCTTAGACTACATTGCCATCTGCAGGCCTTCAAGTTGCATGGACTTTTAGATCAGTAATCTATTTTCAGTTGCCATTTCATAAGTCTCGTTAACTAAAACTAATGCTGTCTACTAGAAATCTTACCATACAATACAATTTTTTGCTGAATAACTTGAATACGACTTGGGCATCTGTATATATTTAGCTTTAGTCGTGTAGATGCTATACATTTTCACCATTGCTTTATCACTGTCTATATATACATTTGTACATACGTTTGATCTGCTATACTGCATTTTTATTTGCTTGTAAATATGACATTTTGTTAGACACTAACTGCTTTTCACATGTACATCTTCTAATAATAACAATAAAGTCTAATCTAATCTAAAAACTAATTTAAAGAGGTGTAACAGCACCTCAAAACTGTATTTTCTGATGCATAGAACCTCTTATAAAATTTATATCTAACCTTTATTTTACCAGGAAAATAAGTCCCATTGAGGTGTCCAAGCTGTGTTAGGCTCATGTTCATTGACATTCCAGTTACCTCGTGTTTTAAGATTAACAGAGCAGTGTTCAGCTATGTCTCACTTAAAGATGGTAGGTCACTTGTAGTATATGTTCAGCAGCATGTTGATATTATATTTAGATTGATTTGATGATGGCTTTGGTTCAAAGGAAGAAAGTAAATCAGCATGTGGCCACTTTGTTGCAATTCCCCTGATCTTATGTAGTTAACGTCAGGATGAGAACCTCTAAATATATCTACAACATATTATTAATAATCAGTTTGGATTAACCTTCAGTACATATTAAATGAAATGGTCAGAGACAAAACTGATCTCAGTATAAATGGTTATTTATTGGGCTTTAAAAAGGTAGTCCGGAAGTGACATTAAATAAAAGGAGATGATGAATATCTGGTTGTTGAACAAGTGTATTAGCAACCTTTTATGGATGCAAAAGCATTAAATCCAGACAAACTCCTTTTCCAAAAGCTTATAGAGACTGAGTGTGCACTGTCCCCTGTGCAGATCAAAGCCTGGAGCCACTGACACATACTAAGAAACTGTCCTTCACAGATCTAACATCTGAAACGTCGCCTGTGCTGGAGATTTGTTCTCGTTTTTTCCTCCTGTGCACCACCTACCTGCTGTCTTGGGTAATAGCTAAGGCACTTTCTCTCTTTTCCCCATTTCCACTGATTTCAAAGTGAAATGCTGCACATACTTATCACACAATTTAAAAAACAGTAACATTTTTCCATTAATAACCTGGGCAGTATAATACATTCAGCACATGGATCCCCTGATCTACTGCACTAAAAGCCAATTCACATCACAACATAAAACCAAACAATGACTAAAACATTCATCACCTATGTGGAAATCATGTGTGGATACAGTACAGAAGCATAACACAAATGTCTGAGAGGAGTTTTAGAGTTAAGCATGTGGTACAGAAACACATACATATTCACAAGGATCATTAAAAACATCAATGGGCTTCTAGTATCGAGCTTTGTATCATTTTAGTTCATCTTGACACAAATTTCTTTTATAAAATGCAAAGATAGAATTGACAATTATTTACACTGTTTTTTAAAAACGGCTTTTGCATTACAGCAGCCAGTGGAATACAAACATTTAACAGTATAGTACCATAAGTTAACAGTAGCTTGAGATGCTGACACTGATATTTATTTGCAGCTGTTTCTATGTAAGAATCAAGTCAAGTTCTCTTGATATAAATTACAATAAGGATGGATGATGACTTTTATTAATGAATGTGGCCTGCAGCTAAACTTAATTTATGTTCATATCTTTTAATTTTATTTTGTTTTGCCATGGAGATGAAATGCAGGCAGGAAAGTGTTTGAAGAAACTCCACTGAATAACATAAGGATATATTCCAGGTTAAAACCTTCACTCCATGTCATTCAGTGAATAATATAAGTGTTCCAGCAGAGGGACCCCTCACTCCAAGTATCTGCAGCCATGACAAGGCATTTGCATAGATTATGAGACATATGTTATACATTTACAAATGAGCAGTGGATGTGGGCAGCTGCGGTTTCATGAGTGCAGCCTGCAGAACATGCCGATGCATTCACAGCACTGGATAACATCACTGAGGGTACAGTAATAACACAAGGTACAGGATGTCAGGACTATCACACAGTACAGTACATGGAAATGTCAGAATCAGAAGGTAAACTGAAGTTATAGGCAAAAATCAGCACTGTAGTGAAGATAGAAACCCAAATTTACAAATGTGAACTCAGATCAACTTCAAATACACTGTTCATTAAGGGACTGTACAAAAATTATTCGGGAGAGAGCAGGTAAGAAAAGGGAGGGTAGATTTTTATTTTTTATTTTTGCTGAGAGGGGGATCTTTAATCTTTTTCTCCTCTCAGATTTTCATTGTATTTCATTCTTGTGAGATTTGCTGTAAAATAATAAAGCTGTATAATTTAAAACAATCAAGCAGTTATACCTATGTGTGCCAAGGTGTGTTTTGCCATATGTGGAGTAAAACAATCCTGTCTTTGTACTAGGGCTTTGTTTTCCTCAGCACAGCTAGCTCACAGCTAATAGGGCTGATGTGCCAGCTGTGAGAGGTAGAATGATGTGGTTCTTACAGCTGTGCTCACCCTCAGAACATCAGCAGCTGAACTACAGCAAAATCGATTATATGTGAAGGTGATTTCAGTTTGTTCATCGGTTATATGTGAAGGTGATTTCAGTTTGTTTTAGTTTGATTAATTCAAACATTTGTTTTTGCACAATGCCTACACTACAGTCGTAAATTATCATAGGCACATCAATTAATGCTCAAAGTCAGAAAATGTATTTCAGTCATGCTTTAGACTTGCACTTTAAGAGAAAAACCTATTAAAATCATAAATCAGGTTCAAGCTTAAAAACTTGATTTGTTTATTTCTATCACCAAGCCCCCGTGTGTTGTAATATTTAATCTGCGATGCAAGTTCAGCTGTTCGTTTTCCTTAATAAGGGGGAGAGCCCAGAGAAAAATAATAACAGGCTAATGCTAGGTAAAATGGAACACAAGGTTCAGCTTCCCTTCTTCTACACAACAATAATTTTCACACGGTCCCTAAAGAAACATTCTTTCTGTTTGCATTATGTCAAAAATGGTACTTAGATTCCTTCGAGCAGAAGCTGACCACTCATGGCTCCTTCACAAGCTCCAGAGAAAGCAGCAGGAAAAACAGTGTGTGCCATCAGCTCACTGCATTGCATTGCACTCAGGATGACAGGGACGTATTCATCAAATCCTTGACATTTCTTTGATCCCCATCAACCTGTCAACATTCTACTTTTCCCTTTCAGCATAAGAGGTGATTCTGGTTTTAGTGGCTGCATCAGCGTTCATACCATAAGATTTCTCTTACCCTGTTGACACTTCTGGTGTGGTCATCGTCACCTGAACTAAACTGGTGTGTGTGAGAGAGACAGCGTGTGTGTACAATACATGTGCCCGAGAGCTCTGACGATAACGCTAACATCCGCACACTCCTCTGCTCCAGTGTATTGCTCACCACCACAGCACTGACAACCAGAGAAAAGGCCACACCGAGGAGCAGAGCACATGATTCACTCCAGCATGTCTCTCAATATGCAACGCCGATTGACCTGATGCTGCGCTCTCCACTTTAGTGTGCCTCAACCACTCTAATATGTGTTTCATTGGATAAAAAAAACTCTCCAACTCTATTTAGTACACGGTTGCAGATCTAAAGCTCAATATTAAGGACACATTAGGGGCTGATGGCTCATTAACTGAGGGGAGGAGAGAGAGTACAACCTTAGGATGGCAAGAGGAGAGGGGATCATATGCACAAAAGCAGACCATGTCCCTACCCCCCAACTAAGTGCTGCAGAGAATATGTGTGTATGTGAGGATTTGTGCTAAGTGGAGGGGGAAAAGAAAGTGAGAGTGTGCGTAGTTGTGTGTGAGCGGAGGCAGTTCCTACAGTTTGATGATGTTTGCAGATGCACCACAACACATAGGAGAGACAATGGATCAGTCAGTGGTGGAGATGTAACCTCAGCTGGCCAGGGCTCTGTCTGTCTCTCCTGCACCTTCTGCATTATCTGCTGAGGACAGTCTGTGGGAGGGGGGTTAAATTCACTGGGTACTAATGCTTAGTATGACTAGATCTACTACTGTTGGAATTTTTATATAAGCTATGCAAAGATTAAAGATCTTTTAACATCAAATCCCAGGAGGATTTAAGTAAAAAGCTCCTCTTTACCAGGCTACCAAGACTGGTGGTGTCCTCATACAGCAGGCAAGGGGTCTGGTGCAAACTGTTCCATGCCACTATATTCCAAAGCCCCTAATGCACAATCTCACACACATATATACATTTGAGTGCACACAAGCATATATTATATTCTCTCTCTCTCTTATGCACACACACATATATAATCCCTCTCTCTGTCTCTAAGCTGGGATGAGCCAGCAGCAACAACACAATCCATGGTTTTGACCCTGTATCAAACACTGAAAGAGGGGAAGGGGGGGATTTCCATAAAAATAGGACAAGTTGTTTCTGTAGAAAAATAGAGCATCTTCTAGAGGCTGATAAAATGTCTTTGGCACTTTAAAAACAGAGCATACATAAAGAAATTGACACTGAGCATCAAAGGTCAAACTACAAAGTTCTCTAGTCAGAAAACGATTAAGATAATCCAGGTTCATCCACATATGAGTCTGGCCAGTCCTGGGTGGATTTGAGCCTGAACTGGCCCGTATTCCACCATCTCTCCGTCCACCGTGATCAAGCCTTGTGGAGAAATGGGCTCCAGCCGCAGGGCCTTCACCTTCTTGTACACCAGGTGGGGGCAGCCGCACGCCAAGTGGGTGGCCTTCTCCATGGCGAGGGAGAGGGGGAGTTCCTGCTGTCACATAGAACAGATGGATCAGCCCATCGTCTGCCATCGCACCAGGGGCAGCCCACAGGTCCTCAGCCAGGTGGGACTGGTACATAGCCAGAACCAAAACAAAGTCCTCCTCCTTGACCACTGTCCAGCTCTCTGGGACTGGCTGGTCCAGGCCAGGGATCAGAGGGTCCACCATCTGGTCAAGTCTGGTCTTGCCATCACTCTGTGTCTCGAGTCTCTTGGTGGTGATAGCATTGTTAGAAGAGTTAGTGATGGTGTTGTGGTTGGAGTTTGTGCTGTTGTGATGGTGGCGAGAGTTCTGGTTTGGAGAGAAGTTGGGGATGAGCTGGCAGGGAAGGGAGGAGCAGAGCGAGGTGTGCTGAGGTGGGGAGGGTGGAAGGTTAGCTTCGTTAACAGGCAGGTATGCTAGCCTGCCCTGATAGACTCTGAGGGAGGCCAGACGCACCAGGGTGCCCATCAGGAAGCGGACGATTCCGACATGGCGGTACTTTTCACTTTCGATGTCAACGTCAGCCACAAAGCCCCAGGCCAGGGAGAGAAAGGAGAACAGGCGCTGCCGAGAGGCCAAGTGGACTGACACCAGGTCCAGGGAGCCAACCAGACCTTTGCACAGCATGAAACCACAGCTCAGCAGTAGCTCCTCATTCCATGCTGGAGGAGACCTGGGGAATTATTACACACATCAACAGTTAGAAGCAGTCATATGTGTTACTGTCGCTGTTAAATAAAATAAAAGCACCAGTCTATATTTATTTGTTGTATTTATATTTTTTTAAATTATGTAAGCCTGTAAATGAGATCTAAACACAATACAGCAGTTTTTTGGCTTAGTTTAAATTTAAATATAAGTAAATGTGCATTTCCTGGATAAAATGAAACTCAGCATATCTAAGAGTCTGCAGCCATGCTAGCAGCAGATAAATGCTAACAACAGCTTGCTAACTACCCACAATAAATGTAAACATTCTTGATCCTGATGGCTTCAGTCACACTAGCATTTTAGCCATGCTACCATGACTAAAAGTACCAAAGGTAAGCTTTTCTAACCTTATACCTTATACACAGCCACGTGTATGTTTTTCTGACAGCTACACTTTAGGAATTTTCAGTGGCCCAAAAAGTTCTTTACATTTGGTTTTTTGGGGGGTAAGGAAGCTTTTACCAGCTGTCACATCACTCACAAAGAGGATAATACATTTGACTACTTTGATTTGATTTGACGAGCAATTAAAAGCACCCAGAAAAACCAATAACTGAACGGCGGGTTAAGATGAACTTTTAAAAATCCATTCATAGACAGTTATTGGCATCTAGTCAAGACTGACTGCAGGGGTGGGGGTGGTGGAGGAGGGCACATGGACTCATGACCAAAGCATTCTTTAAATCCCTGCTAAGGCCTGCCCAGACCTGTAGCTTTTGGACACAAATTACAAAACAGGTGAATTCCTGTTTTTTTTGTTTTTGCTGCTGTGCCCATAAGCAACCAGCAGATGAAGATGATATCCTGGAAATGTACCAGATCGACTAGTTCCACCACTTTGAATCATAATAACTCATAATGTGCCAGTTTCTAAAACCATTCCATCAATACTTCAAGAGCTATCAGCTGCCTGAAATGACCTCCTGCTGCAGAGCGAAGCAGCTCCACTCTGCTCCACTCTCTCCTCCCTCCTGAGGAATGATGTGCCCAGTCAGCCTTTGGGATAATTGCACAGAAATGAGATGAACTGCGCTCTTTATGAGCTGAGGTAGGTTCATCTTTGCTCTTCTTTTGCACTGTTAGTCCATGCATTTAAACGACTCATTAATGGACTGACTTACTGTGAGTAGTGGTGGACAGAGGCAGCCAGGGCATTGCCTGAGCCACCTGGTAAAATGCCCAGAGGGGTCTGGATGGCCTCTTGCCAGTCCTCTCGCTCCATCAGACCATTTATCACCTGAATGAGCATGAATGGAAAAAGAATCAGACTATGGTCCTAAACAGAAAGAGGTGTCTGTGTATAACCACAAATTGTGATAAATGTCTTTCATTAATGGTTATAGCTGCTCTGTGTCATGAAATTTAAAGCTACTCTGGCTAAAGATTTATACATTGTACACTGAGCAGAAACCATGCACACATACAGTATACACTTTTGTATATTGTGCATCATCTTTTAAAAAACTAGAATCAATAAAACATCTGGATAACAATGATACATGTCAATAACCACAGAAATTTTAGGTCCTACATTTACAACAGCTAAGCTCTTTTGTCATGTTTGACAACAAGTACAATTTTTATAGGCCTATTCTGAAAAGTGGTAACAACAGATGTGTGAGGGTTTATATTACTTCCATCTGTGACTGATTGACAATCATGTCACTGTGAGACAGAAACAGGCTGGATAAAGTCATAGCACCTCAAACAGCAGCCCATCTCCAGACATGATAACCAGGGCGTCCCACTGTGACAGGTCCGCCTTCCTCACCAGCTCCCGTGCGTGGTTCTGGTGCTCTGATGGACACGGAAGAACAGGAAACATTTCAAAAACACAAAACAGAAGATGTGGCAGCATGTGGGGTAAACTGACAAAATAAAAACAGGGGCAAGAACAGACAAAGACACTCAGCAGCCTCCAGGGTAGGATCAGGGAGATTAGACAGAAGAGAATCAGTTTCCCCTTATCAGACCAGACATATCGCATTAGCCCATCCAGTGGCGACTCAGCATCTGTGACTGACAAATATCTGTATGTCTGTACGTGCATTCATATGTGTATGTGTGTGTCGGTTAATGTGCTGGTGGTTGACTGAGATGTTTGTTCAGCCTAGTTTTACTGGCAGCGTCCTTGAGCGGGGGTCTGCAGGGGGTCTCTGTTGAGCATTAAAGCCTACAGTGCCTCCAGCTGAGTCTCCCCAGTGTCGTTATGTGTTTGTCTGTGTGTGGAATGGAGAGGAGAGAGAGAGAGAGAGGAAGGCAGACAGCACATACGTTAGCAGGTATTGATGCCATGTCATCATGAAGGAAATATTTCTCGCTCCAGCTGAAGTACTGATGGAGGACAGAATTGAAGTAAACACAAATATTCCCCGCTTTCCTTTCACTGTGCTCAGCCTCTACCCTGCACTCTCTCTCCCAGCTGTACTCCTCATGTTGCTGCTGTTTGTTTATTGTTTGGTGGGGAGGCTGCAGCTGTTGATGCAGTGCTGTGTTGACAGAGAGATGCAGAGGG